TTTTCCATTACAGCCTGGGGGGCTCCGCAAAGGGTCTGCTTCTTTCCCACCCTCTGCCCCTTTCAGTAAACTGTGAAACCCAAGAGGGGAAACTGAGTCAGCTTGCCCTGCTGTGGCTCCTGGGTCACCGAGTGACAGTCTCCTTCTGTAATCTCCCCAGTTATTTATTTCTACTTTTATCCTCAACTGTGATATTAGAGAACTTTGAGAAAGTGGATTTCATCCTAGATCTCCCCCTGCTGTTTTTCAAGGGGTGTTACTTATTATCTGCATCTGGTAATCCTATCACTGAAGAGGTTTCCATCTTATTTGGTTTTTTTTAAAAAGTGTACGCAATAAGGAGGCGGGTCGCATGAGCTACCAAGTGCAACTGCATAAAAAAAAGGTAAGGGTGGAGGCAGCACAGAGCACAACCAGGAGCAGATTTGGGCTCCACCTGTCCCTAGGAGGCATCCCCACAAGGAGGCCCAACCTGGGTCTGTGGGGTATGCAGGCAAACCACCGGGAGTTGCATGGGGGGGGGGGAGGATTGAATGAATGAATGAATGAATGAATGAATGAATGAATGAATGAATGAATGAGTGAATAAAACGCCACGTTTGGTGCTCCTTCCAGAACAGACTAACCCCGCACTGACCCACATCCTCCCTTCATCGCCAGTTCCTCTGTCCATTCGTGGGCCTCACCTCAAACTCCTCGGCTATTTTGGGCCCCTCCAGGAAGAGCCGCGTACTGAGACATTCAACGGGCCCAAAGGTGCCTGTGAAGTCCTTGAAGTCGCTGAAGACTTTGGGGTACATGGCGGCAGACAGAACGTCTTCGGGGGTGATCTCTTCGTGCTTTTCGCACAATTCCTGCTCCAACTTTGTGAAGTCCAGAGGAGGCAGGGAGGCCCCGGGGCGGCCCTCCACACGGGGCAGGTCTTTCAGCACCTAGGAAAGGTCAAAGGGCTCAGCCCCACAGAAGTGGCCCTATCCAGGGAACAGCAAAGTCGGCATATCTCTTCCTCTTCCTCCTCCTTCTGACTCACGCAGCCTCCCATTCAACTCCCACAAAGCAGGGATCAATCGAGGTGGGGGCTGGGGGGTTTCTTAGGTTTCAACCATGCCAGACGACCGTTTAGCAGCATTTCTCTCCAAGAACAGTTCGGCCAAGAGTGGGACAATCTGCTCCATGTCTCTGATGGGCAGGCACCCCAAAATGCAACGAACAGGCCCCCTCATACCAAATCCTCAGTACGAAGTTAAGACAAGAAAACTGCGGGTTTACTCCCCCTCCCCACAATTTCTCTGGGCTCCTTGGGGGAAAGGCAGGCCCCTGCTTCCTACCTTGGAGCGGAAGGGCTCTGGGAAGCCTCCATAGGGGATGCCGATGTAGCCTTGCAGGAACTCCACCACGGACTGGGGGAAGGAGAGCTCGTCTGCTTGAGCTTCCACGTCTTGCTGCGTCAAGTTGTTCTGGACCATGAACTGAGCCAGGTCCCCCACAATCTTCGAGGAGGGGGTCACCTGCGCAGGGCAGCAAGAGGGAACTCCCTGAGAGGGGCAGCGCCAGGGAGGGGCCCACGGGCAGGGGCCTCTCCCAGGAGCACCTTAGAGCCATTGAGGCACAAAGCCAGACCAGGGGAAGGGGCCCTTCAGCGGACAGGGTGAGGCCATCTGGTCAAGGGCCCAGCTGGAGGTAGGGAATCCAACAGTTACAGCCGCTACTGCCTTTTCTTGGAACAAATTATGTGCTCAGAAAAATCAGATCTTGCTCTGGCAAGTTTTGGCTCCAGCATTGGCCATGAAAGCCACTTTCTCCAGGGATGGCGCAGAAAATTTGTCGGAGCTGCTTGTGGCCTTTAGCGACCCTTTCACCTCGAAACTGGCAACCCGCTGGCTAAACAGGTCATTCCGCAAAGACCAGGAAACTTTTTGAGAGCTGCCTTTGGCTGCCCCAAGTCTGTGAGGTCCACCCTGTCGCCGGGGAGGGGAGGGGGGGGAGAGGATTGGGGCGGGCAGACTGACCTTGATGAGGTCGCCAAGCAGCTTGTTGGCCTCCACGTAGGCTTTCTTCACCTCCTTGAACTTGTGGCCTAGCCCCATGCTGTGGGCCTGGAAGTGCAGGTTGGTGTACTGCCCGCCGGGGATCTCGTTCTCGTAGACGTCCGCGTTGCCAGACTTCATGGTGGCCGTGCAGTCGAAGGCCGCATAGAGGCCCCGGGCCACCTCCCAGTATTCGCTGTAGTCAAAGACTTTTTCCATCTGGATGCCTGGGGGGGGGAGGGGGGGAAAGAGTCCTTCCCATCAGCCCAGAGCAGGGGGCGGCAATGCCACCCACTTTCTACTCTCTGCAGCTCCATTTCCAGACAGAACCAGCCAGCTAACAAATAAATAAACCTTCTTTCCACATTGATATGACCAGATCTGAGTCAGGGCGAGTCTTCAGAAACACAGTGCGGTGACCACAACATTCAGGATTTCCCTAAGGAGCTGCAGGGCCCGGAGCCTGGTGACAGATGTTCCCGCGCCTGCCCCCTTCGTGTCCTCCTGCCAGGGGGCGCCAGGGGCTGGCGCTCTCGGCCTGGCTGTTGCTTCACTTTGGGACAAGTGCCGGACAAGCCCAGCTGCAAATCCTGTCCTGAATCATCCCGTGGACCCTGGGGTTAGTCCCTTGTTCTCTCTGCTCAACCCGCCTCACAGGGTGGTTGTAGCGATAAAAATAGGGGAGGGTCTCTGATTTGACGTCTGGGGAGCCCCCCCCGTCCCTTTGGGGAATCAAAGGAAGCCCAGCTCGTCAAAGGTCCAGAAGAAGCCCAGGTAGCTCAGCAAAGAGCCACAAAGCTGCAAGGAAGTTGCTTGTGAGGGCAGGCATGGAGAACAGGGGCTCCACAAGAGAATCCTAGAGGCGGGAGGGGTCCTTGAGGCCATGGAGTCCAGCCCCCTCCCAGTTGTCTGCCTACTGCTTCTTTTCCACTCACGCCTCAGACCTCAAGGGTTGGCAGGCTGGAACTGGCATCTGGCTGGCCCTAAGCCTTCCGAGGGCAGGGACAGCCCTGGCTGGAAGCCAATTGTTTCACCTCCTGCCTCTTCTTTCTGCTGATGTTTTTGTGGGCTCTTCTATAATTTAGATTTTAAAGGTTGCTGTAAGCTTTGTGGGTTCATTTGGACTGATCAGTCCCAATTCCTTAAATATACGGATATTTTTTTTATTTCTTTGTGGAATTACAATTTTATAATTGCTTAAAGCAGCTCAGGGGGCCTGCATACATTCTCATTGCTGCAACCCCAGGCCAGATGGGAGGGGCCAAATCCTGGCTACAGACTGGCCTGGGCCGCCCTTTGTGGGGCAGATGAGAACCCCTTCTGTTCCCCCTTCAGACCTGTGTCGTGCTCTGTGCCACGGGTGCACGCCACCATCGCACCCATGCTCGGTTGGGAAGTCATGCCTGACATGGCATCCACTGCGACGTCCACAATGTCAGCCCCAGCAGCAGCACAAGCCAACATGGAAGCCACGCCGGCGCCCGAAGTGTCGTGGGTGTGAATGTGAAGTGGGACGTCGGGGAATTGCTTGCGCAGTGCCCCCACAAGCATAGAGGAGGCCTGCGGCTTCAAGACCCCAGCCATGTCCTGAAAGAGAAAGGAGCAAAGGCTGCAGGTGAGGAGGAGGAGGAGGAGGAGGAGGAGGAGGAGAAGAAGAAGAAGAACAGGCTCCCTTGGATTCTCTCATTTCAGCCCCAAGTCCTAGGAAACCTGCCGGATGGACTGCCATCAGGAAGAATGGAAATGGGTTCCCATCCGGGCCAGGGCAGAATGGAAGCATGGAGGCGACGCCTCCCCCCTCCTCCCTCCCTCCCTCCTTACCTTGATGGCCAAGATGTGAGTCCCGGCTTTGACCAGCTCCTCTGCAAGGCTAACATAGTAATCCAAGGTGTACTTGGTCCGGCTGGGGTCAGCCACATCCCCAGTGTAGGAGATGGCGGCCTCCACCACGCCCCCGGCCTGCCCGGCTGCCTCCATCCCCAGCAGCATATTCGGGAGGTAATTGAGGGAGTCAAAGACGCGGAAGATGTCCATCCCGTTCTCTTTGGCCATCTGGCAGAACCTGCGATGGGGACAGAGAGAAGGCCCTGAGCCAAGGCCGGCCGGCCGCCCGCCTGCCCCTGTGCCCAACCCGAGGCGGCTCTGCTTCACGGCCTGCCCTGGAGGAAGGGAAGGAGGGAGGGAGCAGACTGTCTGAAGGCAGATAAAGTCCAGCAAGGCTATCAGGTGAATGTGGAAAGCTGCAATTGGGCTTTCCCTCCAAGTACGATAAAGGTGACTGGACTTCCAGGAAGGGACAAAGGAACGTAAAGGATTTAAGCAAGCAAAAACAAAAGCTTAGCTTTTTTGAGCATAAAATGTGTAAACTCCCAAAATAAAGATCAGAGAGGCAGGGCCGGTTCTGAGAAAGACGAGAAGGCAAGTGGGGTGTCCCTTTGTTCCAGCACCTGGAAACAGACCAGCGAAGCTGCACACCACCTACTTGAAGACGGAGTTGTCCGGGTAGTTGGTGTAGCCCACCGCATTCGCCCCTCTCAGCAGCATCTGGAATGGGATGTTGGGGATGAGCTCACGCAGCTCCTGCAGCCGGCGCCAGGGGCACTCGTACAGGAAGCGCATGGCAACATCAAAGGTGGCACCTGGAAGGGCAGGAGAGGAGTCTGAAATCCTGGAGCTGGGCTCCTTGGGAGCGTCCTCCCAGACTTGATTGTCAGAAAGAAAAATGCATAAGGGAAGGCAGAGTGTGTTTTCTTTAATAGCAACTCCAAAACTCAAAGGGTTCTCAGCTGGCACAGCAGCAAGTCTGATGACCGGTCCTTGGTCAAGTGGTCTGGCTCTGGCCTCCATTGGAGCCATGGAGCCAAGTTCAACTCTCTTGCCCACCAGCATTGCCATCTTCACAGCAACATCCCTTCTTAAGGCTCTCAATTCCATGAGTTCTATATGCCGCAAATCCCCATGCTGGGGTGCCTAACTTGTGGCCAAATTCAAGGATCAACCCAACAGGCAGAATTGCAGCCCACTCATCCCAAAACAGCCTTTCCTCAAGTCTTGCAGATATATCACCGACCTAAGAAAAGAATCAGATCCACCTGGAAAGGATCTGGATGAAGACAATCTGACCTTGTGGTGTAGAGTTGGTGAACATGAAAGGATGGTGAAAATACAGATTTAATAAGGATGAAGGGACCACATGTAGGTCATTATATAAATAGCAACTTTACTGCAATAAGGGCAACAAAACAAACATTTCCATCTGTAAATAACTGGTCTGGCAGCTTGTTCAAGGTGACCCAGTCTCTCCTGGACAAAGGGGCCATCTGTTGGATAAAGTCACCCTGAAGAGATCTGTCCCAAGTTGGGCCTGGATTGTAAACGTCCCATGGAGTTGACTGGAAAACCTGCTAGTCTTGAGGAGCTGGACAGGATCATTAGAGTTGTAAATGGGGTCACTTAAAAGTCCATGTTGCTTATGACTGGACAAGAACTATTGCAAGATGATGTGTGGTAGGATCCACCTGGTAGTGATGCATCCTTGAGGGATGACTGACTGCTGGTTCATGCCCTCCTCAAGAAATCATCACTGGAACAATTTTTAGTTGGTCTCCAAGCTACCAGTTTTAGGGAAGGTTGTCGAGAAGATGGTTGGTAGCCCTCTGGGGGCTGGAAATGAGGACATTAAGTTGTGGTGATTCTCCTTTCTCCAAAACCACTCCAGGCAGTTGGTAGCAGGCAAAAGGTCTAGCTCTTGCCCCACCTGGCAGTTTGTCAGTGCTCTGCACCCTCCCCATTAAGTTCTACCTGACACTGCTGGGTGAGGAATTATGGACCATCAGGGAGATGGTCAGCACAGCTATACATTCCAATAGTAGAGAAAACACGTAGCTCAGGATTAGGGACTGGCTGAACGCCTCTTCATTATATTACTCCCTGGTAGATCTGGCACCACAGAACTAATAATTTTGTTTTTTTATTTACTCTTCTGATTTGCTGTTTTGACCATTTAAAATACTTCTGTTAAGTTTGCTGTCTTCCTTCAGACTCACAGTTCTATTACTTGTATGTGGTGACTATTTGCGGGCAGGATAAACCTGTCCATTTACTTCAGACCTGAGTTGCTGCTGCCTTCATTGTGAGCCCTTGTTTGCGAAATTCAACTTCAGAACTCACATGGGGAGCCCCACCTCAGCCAGCCATCAACCTGGCAGCCGGAAACTCCCTCACCGGCCTCCTCACAGGAGCTCTCAGATTTCCCGGGAGGCCCTGAGGACCCCGGCTGCTCTCTCACCTCCCCAGTTCTCGATGCTGAAGAGCCTGTTGAAGTTCTGGGCTACGAAGGGGGAGATCTTCTTCAGGTCGTGGGTGCGAACACGAGTGGCCAGCAGTGACTGGTGAGCATCTCGGAAGGTGGTGTCCATTAAAAGCAGGCCCTGGTGCTGGCGAACGGCCTTGGCAAACCCCGCAGGGCCCTCACTGAGGAGGACATCCCGGAAGCCGATGGGGGGCTGACCTGTTGCAGAAAAAGGGGTGCATGGCATGCAAAGCACAGAAAGGGGTAATGAAAATCTTCCTCCCATCCCTAAAACAGGGAGCCCAGCGGATTCTTATCTAAGAGTTTTAAAACAAACGAACACCCCTCCTTGTACTGGCTTGCAGTTTGAGTCTACGTCTTTAGCTCCACTAAAACAGCCTGCAGGCAAAGCTAAGGAAACTAAGTTTCATTCACAAAACAATGTACACACTGAAAAACCGGACTTGGCTAAAGCCATCTCCAAATAGACAGCAGAATAGAGCAAGGACTGAAATTATTATGCAGGCTGGGGTCAAATCAGGAAAACAAAACTCTTAGGATTTACATTTCCCCTTTGCCTTCAAGGCTAGTCATGACCCCACATGCCACAAAAGAGGATCTCGCAACAACAATTACAATACTATACCCAATCTAAAGAACATAGAAGGAACACATTTTCATACAAATACCAATATACCAATAACAAAGAACCCAGACACATACAAAAACTCACTAACTCACAACCTCAATTTCCCAGCTGCACCCAAGAATGCATGCTGTTGTCACTGTTGTTACTGGGCCAACAAACTGAAACCTCCTTTCCAACTGCAGCCTGCCTCGAACTTATTTTTTATTTATTTATTTTATTTATTTATTTATTTATTTATTTTATTTATTTTATTTGATTTATATCCCGCCCTTCTCCCGACGGGACTCAGGGCGGCTCACAGCATATTAAAAAAACATAAACACATTTACAACCCCACCGAAGTAAAACCAATTAAAACCGAATATTTAAAGCTGTGCTATTTAAAAATTACTCTTAAAATAAACCCGATTTAAAATCCTCCCTAGGCCAGGCCCGCTTGCTGAAAAAGCCATGTCTTGAGGGCGCGGCGGAAAGTAAGGAGATCCGGAATTGTCCGGATCTCGGGGG